GAGATTAATCGAAGTATTTTCTATTGAGAATACTTCGACTAAGGTCTTTTCGATTTCAAAGTGTCTGAATCAGAGTTTTGAAGACTGGGACCGTATAATTCTGTTATTATGAGGTATTTTATTTATTTCCTTCGTGTTTGTTTTCATTATTTACATATCTGTTTATTTACCATGTTGATTTTGGTTGTTATTAAGTCACATTGACTTTATTCATTTTCAAATGACCTTTTATTCGGTCCGATTTTGTCTGTTATTTATAGTCGCCTTAACTGTATGCGTTATAAATTGTGAAATCGAGTACTCAATTGCATCGCTTAATTAATTCCCTGTTAGTCTATAAGTTCATCAATAACACTGTTTGATAGCTGCTTTGTCACTGATTTATTTAAAGTGTCAATTGTAATATGTAATCGATTAATTGAATAGGTCGTTCAAATAATTTGAGTCACTTGGCATCCTGTTGATATTAGTGTCCGAGTGGTCTCATGTGTGTTGTGTTTGATCCTTTTTCTCTTAATTAGTCATCATCTTGCTGCATATATTTCTGTTTAATGTGTTTACAATGTTCTGTATTTATGAATTGGGTTAGTTTACTCCCTGTATATATATGCCATTTGTTATTCTAGTTAATTCAATATGATTATTTCCTGATTCATTGATCCCTATCCTGATACTACTTGATCTGATTTGGTTATAGCTGTTCAATCAGAAACTAGTGTTGATAACAGATTGTAAAATCTGTTTTGTATTGGATTCTTATTTTGTATTAGGGTTAGTATTTTTGAGATTTTTCAGGAGTAGTTTAGGGTTAATTTGGGGAAAATAAACTACATGAATACTTGTTTAAGGGCTGCTGAATATTTAAACATGTTAGTGGATTGATTTGAGACATTCCTAAGTGAGTTTGTGTAAAGATAATAGACAACTAATGGTAGGGTTCAATATGGTATTTGTTTAAAGGATACTGGGGAACAAAAGAAGATGGGGGGGGGGTGAAATTAAGGGAAAAGGTGTCCTTAGTGGCTGATTAAATAAAAATTTAGACTTAGTGCTATTGGAGTGGAAAAAACTGATTTGAAAAGAAAAAGGGGGGGTCCGGGCAGTAGGCTGGAAGATGGGGAAACAAGTTATATAAAAGGGTGTGTTGGTATTGATTTGAGAACACACACAGAGAAGGAGATATACTGAAAAAAAACAGAAGAGAGAAGACAGAGAGATACAAAAGACAGAACACAGAAAAATAGAAAAGAAAGAGAGAAAAGTCAAAAAAAAAAACTTATAACCTTACATTATAAGTTAGAGTGTTAAGGTTGATTTTGAAATTGAGAGTTTTTAGGTTATATCTTCCTGAGTTTTAAAAATCAGACATATTGTTTCTTCGTATCTGTCCGGGTTTGTTTGGTGATATTGTTTGGATTGAATCTGGAGTTTCTTGAGGTTACTGCTTTGTTTGGGTTTTTTTCTTTAACGGATTTTTGGGGCTGTTCAATCTGCTGAATTGTTGTATGCATGCTGCTGTAAATTTTGCTGACTTTCATATTTCTCTACTGCTGGTTTTTTGCTGCCGCTACTGCTGAGCTTTACCTCTTTTACCCTCATTTCCAGGTATATATATCTAGACTCATGTTATTGCAAAGTTTCCATGTTGCAAAGAAATGAAATCTGGAATTCTAAATATGTCCCCTATCCATTTAAATTCATTAGTTGAGTTTCAATTTTTAGTCAACTAATATAGCTTATGCTCGGTATGGGAGCTATTAGTCCATCAGACCTCTTTTGCTGTTAGTATAAGCTTTGCAATAATTCTACTTATTTCAGAATCTCATTAAGTATAGTTATATTTGAAATGTCGAGACAGGGGACTTGGTATAAAGTTGGCTATTCTTTAAACTTTGTATTTAGACCATGATTAACTAAGCGCTTGGTAACATGAAAATATCGAGGAACCACGCTAGTAAACTCCCTCAAGCCTAATACTGTTTAATTCTAGTTGACATAAGTATTCTCGTTTATACAAAATGGGGCCTAATAATGGGGGATAACTATAAGTGAGAGGTGAATCGATATAATTCGTTACAATTAAGATATTGGAATATTTCGGATGGTTCAAATGTGTATTTGCGGTATATGTAATGTCATTTTATCAAATTAATTTGTAGATTAGTTCGCTTTCTTAACAACAAATGGCCCATTTGTTTTAGGAATGCGATTAACTCATTTCTTATAAAAATAGTATATAAAAATAATGTCAATAATTTTACAAAGTACAGATTTAGTATTTGTAAATAGCTTGTATAAGCCGAGGTAAAAATTGGTTTGATTTTATCTATCCCAAACTCAATCATCGTAAGCAAATTAACCTAATAATTAGAACTTTGGACTAAAAACAAGTTGTGTAGAAGAAGGTCGGATTTATAAATACTAATTGCAACATTTTAAGTCAAAGATATACAAAGTAGAGTTCGCTCCGAATAGAATAATGGAAATTCTTCGAAAACTATTAGTTTGCTTATCAATTAAACTTTTCTAGTTTTACACGTAATTCGCTTTTGGTAAGTTTTCAAACATATACGCTTAGTCTTAAGCCTAGGAAAATAATAAATAACTTGTGCATATAATTATCAAGTACTAAAAATGCATAAACAAAATACGGATACTGTATTCACGATAAAAATGGTAGTTTTAGTTGCACGTTATTTATTTTTCATCTCATTAATTCTTTTAACTTGAATAGTTTTGAGGTATATAATTCACACGTTTAAAATATAACCTGTGGTCAATACCTAATAAATTTTGATTTTTTTTCAAGAAATCTTGAGGCATCCCATTCGGTGATTTCCCATGGCTTTCATATTTAAAAATAGATGGACATAATAAACATTTGTAGAAAATTTATATTTCCATCAAGAATATTTTGTGTAATTGAGGACACGTTCGCGTGACATGATTACATTTCTAAAGACAATTGGAGTATGCGTTCGCGCAACTTCGAGCAAACTTTCTTAATAAAAGGGGTTTTTCGGAGGTTATTAAATTAATTTATTTCATATAACCCGAGATGTGTAGTTCACTATTTAATCATACAAGAGTGACGAATGTGCGTAATTTTATTTTAAGCACGCGCAATTTCGGCCATAAATTCATTTTTTATAATAAAAAAATATAAAAAATACTATCAATCTTATTGTGTACACGTATGCGTGACACGATTCTTTACATTTATAAAAAAATAATAATACGAATATACGTATGCGTGATTCGTTTCAAGGTAGGTCTATAATTGTAAATAATCTAACCAAAAGCGGTAACAAAATCATGCAACAAGAAAAAATGTATTTAGTAAATCAAGATAATTAGGCCAAGTATAAAAAATAGTTAAGCGACCGTGCTAGAACCACGGAATTCGGGAATGCCTAACACCTTCTCCCGGATTAACAGAATTCCTTACACGGATTTCTGGTTCGTAGAATGACAAACAGAGTCATATTTTCCTCGATTCGGGATTAAAACCGGTGACTTGGGACGCCATAAAATTCCCAGGTGGCGACTCTGAAATTAATAAAGAATCCCGTTTCGATTGTTCTTTAATCGGAAAAACTCCCTTTACACAACGCCCTCCTCCGGAATGTTGTGTAAAGAAAGAGGTGTGACAATCTTCTATCGTAATTGAGTCCTTAAAGATCTCAAACTCGAACACTATCTTTATCCTGGATTGTGTTCTCTTCATATAAGGAGACTTTCTCCTCTTATCCAATATGCAAACTTTTCGATCATATCAGGAGATATTGTTGCTTGATCAGTATGACTTATCTCATTCACATGCACCTCACATGTATAGGTTGATCATGACTGTGCTTCACAAGATGGACCTGGTCCATGACTGAGTTCATTTGTCATTCTTCAAAACTTCACTTGTTCTTGGGCCAACACATATGCTCAGCATCTTCGCCCCTCAACTTATCCGCAGTATGATGATTCACATACGTCCTCGAGGGTCGAGGAGTCTGGTGGTGAGGATGGACGACAGGACCCACCATCATTTCTACGAGAATTATTTTTACGTACGGACTGAGCACATTGTGGCGAACCCAACGGGATTCCCTGAGAAGTGGAACTTTGCGCATAAATTTTTGTATCTTCAGTCGGTGAGATACCCGACCATTTCCTTTTATGGTGCTAAACTTTATCATGTCTTTGTAGTTGATAAATTGCCCCCTCCGCTTGTCGAAGGTATTCACGACTGGGTGGGTGTCCTCCTTCCCCATACATTGGGGATTCACACATGGTCGGCCTTTCATGATAGGTTTGGATGCAGGCTTCTTACAGGTGAGATGACGTTTCTGTTTGCTATTCTTCCTCTCTTTTTGCTCGGCTTCTTATGTGTTGTTTATCTATGTCAGGGAGAGTACGGAGAGCAAGGGCCCCTCCGTTAGCTCACTACTAGAAAATGAGCCTATGGAAACAGCTGGAAAACCGTTGTAACAGACAGGTGAACCGTTGCCATAGAGTTATTGGAACGGTTTGGAAAACGTTACATACGTTGCTGTGCCAATAGATCTAGAGTAACGGTTCTTGCAACGGTTATCTAAACTGTTGCTGGAGGGCAATCTATCGCAACGGTTTTTCCTCCACCTGAAGCAACGAGTATTTCTTTCGAGTTGCAACGGTTAGAAACCGTTACCATAGCATTTACAACAACGGTTGGAAGCCGTTACCATACAATTTATTGCAACAGTTATGTAAGTTATTGCAACGTTTATTTACTGATATCCTAACGGTTTCATTACGCTACTGTAACGGTTTTATTTCTTTTGCAACAATTTTAACTACCTATTGTATCAGCTTTTTGCACATTTTGGAACGATTTGTAAGACCTATTGGAACGGTTTGCAAGACCTATTGGAACGGTTCTAACTACCTATTGTATCAGTTTGTCGTACATTTTGGAACGATTTGTAAGACCTATTGGAACGGTTTGCAAGACCTATTGGAATGGTTCTATNATCTATATTATCTCCATAAAACCAAAATGTTTTAACCCAAATCACATAAGTCTTACATTTCAACATCAAGAGTTAGAGTAAGTTTCAAATGTTGATAACAAAAGATTCCTAGAACATGGACAATAATTTAAAATTCTTAAGTAAGGTCTAGATATTGGCAATCTCCATCTTCCCTTTCTTTAATTGATCCACCTACAAAAGAGGATAAATACATTCATTATCCTCCAAGGTTTGGTTTATCATTATAAGAATGAGTCTGGTCCATAAATAATGCATAAAGCACAAAGTTGAACAACTAAAGCAAGGAAATCAAGCGAAGAAAGATATATTGGGAACTTTGTACAACAAATTAATCATTCTACTATTGTTTCACATATATGATAGGAATATTTTCTTACGGAACCAATCAAGTGGACTTATTTATCAAAGTTCAGTAACAAATTACACAAAATAACAGTAAGAATCTCAAAGACAAGGAAAAAAAAGAAGACAAAATGCATAAAAGTCCTAGTCTAAATTGCAAAACACATAGTACGCACAGAACTAAGATCAACACGATATTTCACAAACCACTGATAGTAATCACTTTCCAATTCAAGAACCTTAAAACTCATTAAACTAAACCCCTGTACCTCAATAAGATGCAAATGTCCACTTGACTGCCGAAAATACCTTATATTCCTTTTTAACATGCCATTTGGAATCACAGTGCTAGGCATAGTTTTAAAGCATAGTGAATCCAAATTGAATCTTAAAAAGGATCCATTTTCACTAACCCAATGCATACACCCATTCAAGAAAACACCCTGAGCTAAAAAACATTCCTGCTTTATATTCAATATCTCCTTAGAATCTCTCCAAATTATAGTTTCTGATGAGTATACAGAAAATTCATAAACCCCATTTGATTTAATGACACATACAAGTCTATAACTATCATACAACATTGGGTCAAAATCCAAATTTATTACAATAACTTGACGAAGCTCTGTACCAGCTGGAAGTTATGTTACATTGGTGGGTACATATGAGTTCCATTTCTTAGGGCAATAGCAGATCTACATATGATAGGACATTAGTCAAAACTAACCAAATAACAAGTAAATTGGACTACCATATAGTTGTAGACAAATTGAGATTTATAAACAAGCAATAAAAATAAGAAAACAAACCAACATGTCTTGTGTATACGCACGCAGTAAATAAAAACCAAAAGCAAAGAGAAGAATTGAGAAAGGAGCAGAAGTAATCCGAATACATAAGCCTTGACAATGTAAGTTGTAATAACTTACTGCCAGAAAATACATAAGCCTTGACAATGTAAGCCTTGCAGCTATAATAACCTCATACTCAGGATTCTTGAATAACTACTCTCCCTTAACATTGAAACCCAAACACAAGACCAAGCAACCCACCATATCCTATTTTAAGGGGCCAACATACTAGACCAATCAATGACAAGAACAAACATACTAGATCAAACATACTGGACCAAACAACCCATCGTGTTGAACTAACTAAATTATCATTTTCTCCATGTCTCATCACAATCCAAAAGTAAGGTTGCAGAGCCAAGATAGACGTACTGACCTTGATTATTACTCCCAGTAGATAGACGATTGATTAGTTGCACAACAGCTTGTTGTGCAGAGGAAACTTCTCCAGGTGAACGAGCATTGAAAGCTAGCATGCTGGGATCAACCCGTAAATCTGGATTCAGATGCTTAAGTTGTGAAATGATGTTAACTGCAACTTGTAGTTCGATGGCATCTTTTTGTGCATTGAACTTTTCCTACAATCTTTCCTTTCTTCCATTTCCTCCAATTTTTGCTCCATCACCTTATCAGTAGAACTTAAAGAGGTTCCAAAATCTCCCACTTTTCTTTTTAAGGAAGCCTTGGTAACCCTACGTCCATACAATCTTAGGCGACCTGGATGCTCAGGTCCCTTGACATAGCTAGCAAAATAATAGATCCTCTTTTTTGTGTATGGAGAAAAGGTAGGCATGAGATTACTATTGGGATATAATATTACAAAGTGTAGGTAGGAAGCATGCTTCACCACTCATATCTCCTAGGCTTAGAAATATTAACAGACCTACATTATGCAGAGGGAGTTTAAGCACATGTTCTGTTGGTTTCACTATAGGTCTAATGCTCACAGTTCTCTTAGGCAAGTTTATATTGAAAGAGTAGGTCTCTAATACTTCTATGACACCAATAGAGCTAAGAGCAGGCAGACATCTCACTGAGACATGATCACCTTAATAGTTAAACTAACAACTCACAGTACATTAACACACAAATATGCAAATAGGTCCACTTAGTATATGAGTTAGTATATGGTCCATTATAACACATTGGCTTAGTTTAATAGATAAAATTATTTGAACAAGGACAGATCATTAGGGTAAGTTCTTTACAAGATCACTTACACTAACCATTTCCTTTATCACATAAGATTAGGAACTACTAGAAGTGAACAAAGGGATGTAAAGATAAAATTTTTCAAGCTACTGTCATGAAATTCCCTATGGGTATATAAATTATTAAAATTATATAAAAAGAGTAATTATAAAATATTAATAAAAAATATTATTACTCACTCTAAATAGAATATATTTAAAAGAATATAAGAAGTTTCTTCTTTAATCATCTGATTTCATCCCGTCCCAATCAGTATCATCAAACTCATTCTCCTCTTCCGAGGTTTCTATAATTGTATCATGTGAATGTTGTGCATTAGATGGAATATCAACGACGTCAACGGGTACATCGTTTCTTGAGCATCCAAACTCAACATCAACTAATCCACTTAAGGAACCAACGTCATCATTAGGCTCTCTCCAAAATGCATCTTCAATATTGGGGCAATTTTCTTCCTCTAAATCATATAAATCAACAGGGACTTTATTCCTTGCATAATGAACATCTTTATCAATAGGATCCTCCACATAAAAAACTTGATAAATTTGTGATGCTAATAAAAAAGGGTCATTTGTACTACATAATTTCTTAAAGTACACACGGGTTAACCCATATTCATCTATTTCATTACGAAACCAGTCGCATCTAAATAGTAAAACACTAAAACAAGCCCAATAATTAATCTCAATGATATCCTAAATAGCTCCATAATAGATAACCTCACCATCGATGAGATTTTGGTCCCTAGATCTAGCAAAGCTATTGGTTGTTGCCGATAAAGTCACTTCATTATTTTGAGTCTTGCATCGGGAATCCCGTTCTATGGTATGAAATCAGTATCCATTAATGAAATATGCAGTATATCTTTTGGCGATCGCATTAGGCCCTTTAGCTAGCCATCTTACATAATTGGGCACTTCAATATTTTTAACTTTCTCAGCAAACCAATTGTTGAATTCCCGACTATGATTTCTTGCCCTTTCCCATGCATTTGATCTACTGCGATTACCAATTAAATTCTTATGTTCCCTGCAATCATGAATATTGTACTAATCTTAAGTCTCAATCTAAGGCAGATATAGGGAACAAGTTAAGACTGTTAGTTGGATAATTAGAATCTCTTTTTATGTTTAAAGTATCATGTAGACTCTTCTCTTTTTGGTTCTCTTCTCTTTTTATCTTCCGATACTTGTTCACCTTAGGCATTGAAAATGAATCTGTGGAGATATCATCACATTCGAGAAACAGAATTTTTCTCACCGTGAGTCATACATAATCACTCGTGATGGTTGCATCTTAACTAATTTTACTCTTTAATTTCTATGCTGAGTTGCTAAAATTCTAAGCTCTTAAAAACAATAGAAGCAACATACTGGATTAATCTTTTGCTCTGTTTCAAATGTTTTCTATTCCTACGTTCTTATGTTTCTCTATTAGAAACTCACCGGATTCAATGCTTTTTGGTACTCACGTCACTTATTTGTAATAGTCTATGTCCTATTCCGTTGTTTATTCATGAATTGTTTATTCATGGATACTTCCTCTATCTCTTCAAGAAATGGTAGAGAATATCCTTTAAACCAGCACTAAGGCATCTATTCTGTTTTACTAATTACTTTTTAATTCTAAACTAACTAGAGATATCTAAATTTTATATATTCATCTATTCTGTTTCACTATTAGTTCAAGAATGTTAAATTCTTGCATTAATATTAGGTGTAGTTGATAGAGTTTTTTCATTAGCTATCCAAAGTGAAAGACACTACTATGAATCCTTATTCATGGGTTACAGTTGAAGTCTTTTTTCTGTAATTTCTCCTATTTAATGAAATCCATGAAGTGATATTACGTCCAACTATAAGTTGTCCCTATATCATTTACACTATAACTATTTCTTTCCTATAAGTAGTCCCTTTCCATGAAGTGATATTATGAAATCCATTGTACAAAATGAAGACGAAACCAATCAATAAAAATAGTTGTCTATTGGTTACTCATTCCTCCACAACTCCATGTGATATACCTAATGCCTGCTATTTCATTACATCTATCTTGAAAAGCAATAATTAAATTACAAGAACATGATCAAACAAAATCTCAATAATCAAGTATGACAAAGAAAACTAAAGAAACATGTTTTGGTGGTAAGAATACCAAGATTGTCACAATACAAATCAAATTCTATAACAGAAAACATTATTTAAAAGGACTTTATCTGCTCTACAAGCAAGAATTTCGGGCAGCAAACAAGTGGTCCAAGGTCATAGTTCACCAATATGAAAGCAGCTGTAGCACTAGATATATCCCTATCATCCACTGGGTTAAAAAGCTAATAATACAAGTGAAAAAAACTACCTGACATAGCAAAAAGAGGAGGACAAACTGTCATGTTACAGAAGCTGGATTCAGTCTTTACAAGCAACTGTCACATGTTATAACATCATGTCTCAACTTTTGAGGCAACCCCTTTTTTTGCATACTGGCAGAGAAAGGCAAACAAACACTAACTGAAAGTGTTTTTTGTTTCAAAAAAGGTTGAAAAGCTTTTGCACTAAAAAGTTTTTCAAATTTTCCTAAAAGTGAATCACTTCTTTCTAATAGAGTTGGCCTTTTCCTACTTTGGTGACTCGAATCCACAATCTTATGGTTGAAGGTGGAGGATCTTTATAATTCAGTTGTCCCTCCCCTGTTGAGAATGCAAATCTAAACAGTCATTGTTAGGCAAGTAAACAAGAAAAGGAAGAAAGCACAGAGATAAGAACAGTGGTCTGACAAATCTTTAGCTTTAATATAGCCCAAGAATTGACACACTAAAACTACATTAGTTCGAGGTGAGTGCTTAAGCATAATATGAGTTATATAAGTTCCCATATAGCAGTAGATACTCTTGGATATTTTAAGAATGAGACGGTTGAACTATCAGTTTGATAAAAACATAAAGAGAAGCCAACATCGACATCAAATGCTTAAGCACTTTAGATCAGAACTGCTTTTATGCGCTGGAAAATAGCTGACTTTTTCAGAGTCATTGGCCATAAATTTAGACAGAGCCAATAAGTTTAAAAAGTACACAAGGAAACTAAACACAGTTCGCCTCAAAATTGACTGTTATTTTGTACAAGTTCAACACTGGAAAGATTCATTGAAGCATGAAGCAGAAGCCAAAAACAGCTTCAAGGAAAACATGGGATGCTAAAGAATTTCAACGAGTAGAAAAGAATACCCAGGTGAAGAAAAAGAATGAGATTAACATACCTCTCAGAATAATCAGAAGACATGCAACAAAAATCTCTCTTTTTTAAGAACCTCTACAATCAAGAATCGCGCTTGTTTCATGAAAACCTAGCTTCATTTGGACAGCTTCTTCGACTCGCCCATAAAATTGATTTTCGAATTTGGGGATTTTGGTCTATCCTTGAGATGAATCTATAAGGAGATGAATCTACAGGGAAAGGGAGGATTTTGAGATGAATCTATTTCTGAATTTGAATTTTAGGAGTTAAAGAGAGGATTTTGAGGAATGAATTTTGAGAGGAAAAAACGGTGGAGATGGGTCTCGTTCTGAAAATCGAGTGCAGGTGAGTTTGCTGGGAAAAGGGGAAATAAAGATTAGTTTTAAGTTTTATATTATTAAAATTAATCATAAATAAAAAAATAAAAAAATGGGGTTCATTTGGCGGGTTTACCAAATTATTGGGTGGGTTTTGGGTGGGGGAGGAGGAAAGTGAAGAGGGAATGAAAACAGTTTCCATAAAAATAAAAAATTTCAGAACCGTTCCAATAAATGGGTCTATTGGAACGGTGTACGAACCGTTGCAGTAAAATACTTTATGGCAACGGTTCCAATACAACTGAAATGGTTGTATAGTTAAAGTGTGCTGATATCACCCCAATCCTATTGTAACGGTTGTACCCGTTACTATATCCATTCTATTGCAACAGTTTGTGAACCGTTGCTAAAAAACCGTTGTCGTAGGCCCATTTTCTAGTAGTGGGTTTTCGTTAGCCGCTCTCATCTACTTACCCTACTGTGGTACCTGTAAGCACGTGATTTTTGCCCTATATGAGAATTACTCCCAAAAAATTCAAAAATAAAATGATTTTTCTTTGGTGTGCAATTTTGTGATATTTTGTGATATTTTGAATAATTGTTTGTATTTGCCTGTGCATGTTTATTTGCTAAATTAATAAAAAATACAAAAAATATGTCGCATTTTGCATGTAGGATTTAATTCTACAATTGTTAGTAATTAAATTTGTTTACAAAAATAATAAATTACAAAAATAGACATCTTTTGCATTTTTAGCATTTAATATCCAAATATACAATTTTATGCTTAATTATTACTTAATTATGCGTTAATTGTTATTGGGAGTTAATTTGCGCTTTTATAACTTAATTTAGTTCTTAATAATAAGTTAAGTATTTTTATAATTTAGTTTTAGAGAAATAAAAGAAGAAAAGAGAGCGAAAATATAAAGAAAGTCGGAATTGGGCCTCTTCTTCAATTTCAAGCCACAGGCCCAAAAATGGCCCAATCTTCCCTACGACCCAGTCCATAACTCAAAAGACCCAAACCCCCTTTTTCTTTCATTTTTTACAAAACAAAAACAAAACAAAACAAAAATAAGAGAAGAAAACCCTA